CTACTACTTACTACTTACGACTTACTACTTACTACTACACGACTACTACTATACTACTACGACTACTACGACTACTACTACACTACTATATTACTACTACTACTACTACTCTACTACTACTACTACTACAGAACGACTACACATATTAATATACTACTACGACTACGACTGTACTACTACTACTACTACTACGACACTACTACTACTACTACCACAAATTTACTACTACTACTACTACTACCAATCTATTACTACTACTATACTACTACTATACTACGACTACTACTACTACTACTACGACTACGACTACTACTACGATTACTATGACTGCTACTACTACTACTACTACTACTACTACTACTACTACTACTACGACTACGACTACTACTACTACTACTACTACTACTACTACTACTACTACTACTACTACTACTACTACTACTACTACTACTACTACTACTACTACCACTACCACTACCACTACTACTACTACTACTACTACCACTACCACTACCACTACCACTACCACTACTACTACTACTACTACTACTACTACTACTACTACTACTACTACTACTACTACTACTACTACTACTACTACTACTACTACTACTACTACTACTACTACTACTACTACTACTACTACTACTACTACTACTACTACTACTATTACGATTACTACTACTGCTACTACTGCTACTACTGCTGCTGCTGCTGCGACGACTACTATCACTACGACTACGACAACGATTGTGACTGCGACTACTACTACGATTACTTCGACTACGACGACGACGGCTACTACTACTGCTACTACTACTACTACTACTACTACTACTACTACTACTACTACTACCACTACTAGGACTACGGTTACGACTACGACTACTACGTATGGTACGACTACTAGTACATATTTCCCTACAAGTATACTTATTATGACGACTAGTATCACTACTGTTACTACAACTGTTCCTAGTCATAGTAACACGGCTGCGACTATTACTACTTTTACTACCACGAAGACTACTACTACTACTACTACTATTACTATCGTAACGACCACTAGTTGTACGACTACGATTCGTATTTCTACGACTAGTACTTGCCTTCTTACGACGACGATTACTACTACTACTACTATGACGACGACGACGACGACGACGACGACCACTACTATTACGATTACTACTACTATTACTACTATTACTCCTACTACTATTCCTACTACTACTACTACTACTACTACTACGACTACTACTACTACTATTACTACTACTACTACTACTACTACTACTACTACTACTACGACTACTAGTACTACTACGACTACGACTACTACGGTTACTACGACTACCACGACAACGATTAGCACTATGACTATTACTACAGCATCTATTACTACTACTACTACTACTACTACTACTACTACTACTACTACTATTACTACTACTACTACTACTACTACTACTACTACGACTACTACTACTACTACTACTACTACTACTACCACCACTACTACTACTACGACTACTACCACTACTCTCCGCCACTACTACTACTACGACAACTACTACGACCAGTACTACTCTATGAGAACAAATGAAACTCTTGCAAGCGTTGAAACCAATGTGCGCGGCGCTCAGGCGAGAGCCACCCTTTGTAAAGGGGTTGCCCTCAGTTCGCGAAACTCTTGCAAAGTTTGAGACGAGGGTGCCACAGGTTGAAACGGCCCGCCCTCAATCTGGGAAGCTCCTCTAGTTTTTCAAAAGCGACTCTGCGCGGCGCCCAGGCGACAGCAACACTTTGGAAACCACCCGCCCTCAATCCGCGAAGCTCCGGGTATTTTTGAAATTAGATTAAAATAACATACAGCTGAACGTACACGATCAAAGCGAGAGAAACATTTTGAAAGCAGCGCGCCTTCCATTTGTGAAATTCGTGCAGATGTGTTAAACGAATATGCGCGACGCTAAGGCGAGAGCCACATTCTGAAGACGGCCCGCCCTCCGCTTGCGAAACTGCTGCCAACATCTAGGCTCCAAGGTCATAAAAGGGAAGGAAGTCTCAGGCGAAACGCCCGCACCGCCCTTGCGACTGGCCCGGGGGTGCGAAACGGAGGAATTATCTTTATGGAGTTAGAACGGAGGAGGCGGAGGGGGAGGAAAAGGAGGAGGAGGAGCACCAATGTAGACCTAAGATTCATCAACGATGTTGGACGACTCCCTCCCTCCAAGCTCCTTCCTTGCAGGCCCCCACATGGGTTCATTTCCACTGAGGGAATTGCCCCGTTGGGGGACAAGCGCGTGAAAACCTTGACGCGCGCCAAAACACCATCCTCAGGATCTCAACGCGCGCCAAAACACATCCTCAGGATCTTGTGCGGTTTGCGTTTCTGGACGCGTCATTGACTGTTAACTCGTCATTGCCACCGGCCCTTGACGAGAAAAAACAAAAACAACTGAAAAAAAAACACGATTTCAACGCCGAGTCAGCTTGTCTGTTTCGTCTTGACGATCCTGAATCGGGCCAGAACACCACTCCTGGGACTTCAACACCGCGAAGCAACGTAATTGTTGCGCCCGGACAATCCTGAACCGCTCCCAAACACCATTCTTGGTACGGTAGCCATGAGAAGCATATGAACCCTTGAAAAATTTGGAAACGAATATGCGCGACGTCCAGTGTTTGAAAATGTTCCGCTTTAAAGCCGTGGAACGCTTGCATTTGTCTTAAACCTATGTGCGCGGCGCTAAGGCGGGAGCCGCATGTTAGAAGCAACCCGACCTCATCCGCGAAATTGCTGCCAGTTCTTAAGCTTCAGGCTCATGAGTGCTGGGGCAGTCTCAAGCGAAACGCCCGGCCCGTCCTTCAAATTGGCTTCGGGGTGCGACAGGGAGAAGTTCTTGATGAGGAAACAGAACGGAGGAGGAGGAGGAGGAGAGGGAGAAAAAAGAGGAGGAGGAGGAGGAGCAGCAGAAGGAGCAGAAGGAGGAGGAGGAAGTGGAAGAGAAGGAAGAGGAGGAAGTGGAGGAGGATGAGGAGCAGCAGAAGGAGCAGAAGGAGCAGAAGAAGCAGAAGGAGCAAAAGGAGCAGAAGGAGCAGAAGGAACAGAAGGAGGAGGAGGAGGAGGAGGAGGAAGAGGAAGAGAAGAGCAGGAGGAGGAGGAGGAGGAGGAGGAGGAGGAGGAGGAGAAGGAGAAGAAAGAGGAGGAGAAGAAAGAGGCGGAGGAGGAGGAGGGAGAGGAGGTGGAGCAGAGGGAGCAGAAGGAGCAGAAAGAGGAGGGCGAGGAGGAGGAGGAGGAGGAGGATAGCAGCCTGTCTCCTCGGGAGCGGGCCGGGGCCGTCCCCGGCCTCGCCCCAGCCCCGCCCTGGCCCTGGCCCCCGCCCCGGGCTCCGGCCCTGGCCCCGGAGCCGGGCTCCGGCTCCGGGCCGGGCTCGGGCTCCCAGCTCTTGCGGTGGCCCTGTCTCCGGCCCCAGCCGAGGCCCCAGACCCCCTCGGGTAATGAAAAAATCATGACGGGAGGTTTTTTGGTATTCTCAGCCTCGGGAGGCCCTTACCGGGCCTCGGGACCGTCGAAAAACGACTCAGGACGAGAAACCGGCGGGGAGTAGGTCGAGACCTCTCAGAGTCGACGTCATGAAAAAATCATGACGCCGGGGGTCTGGGGCGGGGCATCGGGCCGGACGAAAGGGGAGGAGTGGGAAAGGGGGGTGACGAAATCTGCTGCATGCAGCTGTTTTCGGCCCCACCGAGGGGCACATTCCTCGATGCACAGCTGCCTCCGGCGCCGGGAGGCGCCGGGAAAATCAGCTACGTGAGCTGATTCTCAGACCCCCTCTGTGCTGTCCCCCCCTCTCGCCCGACCCGAGGGAAGGCCGGTTGATTGAAAGTTTGCGCGCAGAGCGCGGCGTCATCATGCCCGGGACCCCCGCGTCCCCCCCCCGTGGGACCCCCCCCGGCGGGGAAAGGACAAAGGGAAGGGGCTTCCTTTCGACGCGAATACGCCTGTTCGATCCCCTTGATTTGTTGGATCTCTCTTACGACGACGATTCAAAGGAGGCTGGCGTACTTCAGTTTGGATTGGGCTGGCCTCGCGTCGAAGAGCCTCTCATACACGCCGACTGGGTCGGCGGATTTGACGTCACTCGTCACATGGCAGTGCAGGGTGTCGGGGAAAGCACTATGATATTCGTCTCGTCGTACGGCACAGCAGGCAGAAAAACACGACTCGATTGTATACGTGCACTACAAAGTGGCGAGAAAACCGTGGCATCCTACTCCAATCGCCACGTGTCAACCCAGGGAGCACTCAACAAATTGAATTTGCTCTATTCGTCAAATGGCAACGCAGGTAGGGAGAGAAACAGGTGCTTGCACTTCATTCGTCAGCAACGCAGGGGAGCGAAAAACAAAATGTGAACTCGATTCATCACGTGGCAGCGCAGGGGGCCATAACATGTCACTGACATGCGATTTTTCTCAGATGGCAAGGCAGAGGGGGGGGCTGCGCACATGTTATTCCATTTCGATTCTGCACATGACATGCAATTCGTTCTTCACTCGGGAACGGTGAGGGCGGAAAGACACTGCTCTGCTCCACTCTTCACGTACCATCGCAGGGAGGGTCCGGAACAAATACAGTGTGTCTTTGTTCGTAACGTGTCAACGCACGGGGGCTCGGATATATATGACTCCCTCTTGCGCGGGCCAGCCCGCTCGCCCGCGCGCCCGCACGCTAATTAGCACGTTCGCCCGCCTCGCACGCACGCACGCTCTCACAACAATTCGGTCATGGTCTAGAGGGAAACATGTTGAACCGTTTTCGAGATGTGAACCCACCAAAAAAAACTTCCACCCTCCCCCCTCTCTCTCTCTCTCTCTATTTCTCTCCCTTTCTGTCTCGCTCTCCCTCCCTCCGTCCCTCATTCCCCTCGTGCTCACCCTCCTTGTCCTCCTCCTCCTCCCCTCGCCGCCCCACACCTCCCAAATCCCATCAGGTGGGTGAGCACATTCGACTTCGGGCGGTCTCGCATCTTCGACCCGCTCCTCTCCGGCGCCGCGTGGACCCGCCGCGAGAGCAGGGTGCCAATACTTAGATCTTTTGTTCCTCTTTTTGCTCGTGTTCCCCCTCCTCCTCCTCCTCTTCCTCCTCCACCCCCTCCTCCTCGTCCTCCTTCTCCTCAACGTGCTCTTGCTCCTCCTCCCTCCCTCCTCCTGCTCATCCTCCTCCTCCTACTCCTCCTACTCCTCCTCCTCCTCCTCCTCCTCCTCGTCCTTCTCCTCCTGCTCCTCCTCCTCCTCCTTTTCCTCCTACACCCCCTCCTCCTCCTCGTCCTCCTTCTCCTCAGCGTACTCTTACCTTCCTCCCCTCCTCCATCTGCTCATCCTCCTCCTCCTCCTTCTCCTCCTCTTCCTCCTCCACCCCCTCCTCCTCCTCGTCCTCCTTCTCCTCAGCGTGCTCTTGCTCATCCTCCCGTCCTCCTTCTGCTCCTCCCCATCATCATCATCATCATCATCATCATCATCATCATCATCATCATCATCATCATCATCATCATCATCATCATCATCATCATCATCATCATCATCATCATCATCCTCCCCCTTCCATCCGTTCTCCCTATAGATACCTTCTCCTTGTCGCACCCCCAGACTTGTCGGTAGGTCGGGCTGGGCGTTTCGCCTGAAACTTCACCGCTTATGTTTTTTTACTTTGAAAAGTGTGCAACAGTTTCGCGGAGGGAGGGCGGGCAGTTTTCAGCATTTGGTTATCGTTTTTGCGCCGCGCACGTTGGTCTTGTACAGCTGCTTCAAGAATGGGCAACGGGTGGCTTTCAAAATGTGGCTCTCGTTTCGGCGCCGCGCAAATTTGTTGTAAAAGGTTGCGGCGGCTTCGAAGATGGAGGGCGGTTCATTTCCAAAGTGTGGTTCTCGCTTTAGCGCCGCACACATACGTCTTGGAAGTTTGCAAGAGATTCAGGTATTCGCGCGTTCGAAGATTCAGGAATGATGTTCTGGCACGATTTGGGAAGGTCAGGACGCGATACTCACGTGAATTCGCAGCGTAGAAGTCCCAGTGATGGTGCTCTGGCACGATTTGGGAATGCCAGGGCGCAACGGACACGTTGATTCGCGGCGCTGAAGTCCAGGGAATAGCATTTTGGCCCGGTTGAGGATCAGGCGAGTGTCTTTCAATAGGGCATTCCCCGCAGTGCGAAAAAAATATTTGTAGGGACCTATGAAGAGGGAACTTGGAGGGGGGGGTTATTGCAACATCGCTGATGTGTCTTGGGTTTACGCTGGTCCTCCTCCTCCCCGCCCTCCTCCCCATCCTCCTCCTCCTTCACCTCATGCCCCCATCTGCCACTCCCCCATGCTCCCTCGCCTCCCATTCCATCTCCTCTTGGCCCTCCTCCTCCCTCCTCCTCCTCCTCCTCCTCCTCCTCCTCCTCCTCCTCCTCATCATGGGGCGCTCAACAGGCCGGTCATACCAGCCATCATCGGACAGTCGACAGGGGTCTTTGATCACAAAATGTCATCTTCTGGCTCCCTGTCCTCCCCTCGCACTTGTGACCTCGCCATGTCCTTGTCCCCTCCCCTCCCCATCCCCGCTTCCCGGTCCTTCTCCTCATCGTCTTCCTTGCCCTTCTCCATCGCCGCTCCTTAAAGATAATTCCTCCTTGTCGCACCCCTCAGACGTGTCGGTAAGGCGGGACGGGCATTTCACCTCAGAGGTTTTCACCAATTATTTTCGTGAAACTTAAAGCTTGCAACAAGTACACGGATGGATAGGGGTCGTTTTCATGATGGGGTTCTCGCCCCAGCGCCGCTCACATTCGTTCCAAAATATTGCAACAGTTGCATTGACGTAGGGTTTGTTTGTTCATTGGGCTCTCGATTGAGCGCCGTGCACACTCGTCATAAGCATGGGTGGACGACGGTTTCGGTTCAAAGTTGCATTCCTCGCTACATATCATCATCAAATTTCGTTGCCAGAGGTGTAGACATGTGTACTACGTGCACGAAAGTGGGCGGTTCCTTGTGAAAACGGGGCTTTGGCTGTACATTTCGCTGCAATGTATGTTCACACTTCTTCGCACTCGCTTGAAATCACTGACCTGGATGTAAGGCAGTCACTTTTCAAAATGGGGCGCTCGCCTCACTGGCAGTCCCAAGGGGTGCTCGTAGTTCACTGGGGCGTCTCTCGTGGTCAAAAGGAAGGCAGGGTGTATAGCAGCATGGTTGATATCCGTAAGGGCGTCGCCCCCTGCCGCCGGCCCCCTCTCTCGGAGAATGGGCCATGGAAGAGCGAGGTCATGAGGCTTTGGCTTCACCGCGAAGCAGCGTCGGAACTTCATGCGAAGACGATGGGCAATTGACAAGACGAATTTTCCATTTGCTCCCGTATGCTGTGTCCAAATCTTCTCCCCGAATTTGAAAATGTTGGAAGTCTCTTGTGTCCTGACCGCCGATCTGCGTGAGGGGTGCCATCGAATTTCAGACATCTGGCATTTCCCATGTGTTTTTGGACCCTGACCCCGCCGATCTGCGTGAGGGGTACCACCGAATTTCAGAAATGTTGCAAATCCCTTATGTTTTTGGACCCTGACCCCGCCGACCTGCGTGAGGGGTGCCAGCGAATTTCAGAAATGTGGCAAATCTTCTGCGTTTTTGCGCCCTGACCCCGCCGATCTGCGTGAGGGGTGCCACCGAATGTCAGAAATGCAGCAAATAAATCCCTGGTGTTTTTGGACCCTGACCCCGCCGATCTGCATGAGGGGTGTCAATTTTTACGCACCCCAGCAATTCAGAGCACACGCTCAGGGCGTGCTAAACCTGCCCGTTTGGGCCTCCCCCCCTCGCGCGGCCCATCAACAAGGAACAGTAAGCAGCAAGAAGCAGAACTGTAACAGTGGAAACTGGAAGCTGCAACTGGTACAGAAAACTGCGAACCTTCGCCCTACAGCCTGGTGGCCCCACAAGGGGGCCGGCGGATTCCTTGACTTACTCTAGCCCCCCCCTCCTCCTCCTCATCTTCCTCCTCCTCCTCCTCCTCCTTCTCCTCCTCCTCCTCCTCCTCCTCCTCCTCCTCCTCCTCCTTCGCCCCATGCCGCCCCCCCCTCCCCTTCCGCCTCCCCGCTCGTCCCCTCGAAAACAGCGCCTGCTTGCCGCCGCACATCTCCCCCGCCCCAGAGGGGACTCCACGCGCACCCCCCCCCCAGGACCCACGCGAAGCACGCCCGCGCCGCGCAGCAGGCGTGGCTGCAGGGCCGCAACCTCACGGCGCGCCGCGCCGCCGCTGTCGCGGCCCGCGCCCTCGTCGCTGCTGCCGCGGGGGAGGATCGGGACGATCGAAATGCGGTGAGGGTACTGGATACGAAACCATTGGGTAAGGAATCCATGGAAGCTTCTCTAAGTTCCCGCATTTTCTTCGCACCGTTTCTCCCTACTCCACCTGCCAAGGTGGTAAAAGAGAGAGTTTGATCTTCGCACACGCGCGTCGAGCTGAGGCATGTGTCCCCCAGTCGACGTCTCAGACGCTGCTCCTCGGCTAAGCGAAGCCGTCGCAACGCGAAAAAAGGAGGGGCGGTTTGGGATGAGGAGTTGGCCCCTGGGAGTCGCGATGGACTGGGCCCCGACCTGGCACGTGGCCACCCGATGGACTGGGCCCGACCTGGCTCCCCGAGGCCCAAGACGCCCCCAAGAGGAGCGCAAGAGGCCCCGAGACCGCCAGCAGGCCCCCAAGGAGGACCCCAGAAGCCCCCCCCCCAGGGGCACCGCCGAGCGACGACCCCTCGGCCGCGCACGCATGGCATGTGGAGGCTGCCGAGCCCTGGCCTCCTCCTGGAGGAGGCCAGGGCTCGGCTCGTCGAGGCTCGAGGTTTGGGAGCGAGTTCCCCTCGGTGCCCAGGGCCTCCTCGGAGCGCCCTCTTGCTCGTTGCGCCTCGCCGAGGGCGCTCCTCCGGGGGCGCCCGTCTCGTCCCGAGCGGCCGCGGGAGGGGGGGAGCTGTGGCCCGAGAGAGGCCTCCCGAGCGGCGCAGATACACGGAGTCGTCCTCGCCGGCATCGGCGCCTCGGCTGCCCGCGCAAGAAGAGGGCGCGCGCCAGCGCCCTCGCCTGCAGTGTGGCATGCCGCGCGGGTGGCCCGCGCGAGGTCGCGGCGTCATCCCGCGCAAGACCCGACTTCGATATCGTCGCTCGCCTGGACTCGAGGCTCTCAAGTCGGGCACGTCCCCCTCTACGGGAGGAACCTTCCAGAACAGTCAGAAGACACAGTCCGGGGACGAGGGCTCGACTCGTCCTGCCCATTTTTTCTCGCTGTTTTTGACTGCCTGTCATCTCTCCTCCAGAGCCCGCCTGCAGCAGGACGTGCCCGACCTGACTCGAGGCCCCCCGCGCCTCGAGAGAAGCATCAAGGCGGGCCCTGTCCCTCTCCAAAAACACTCAAAAAATAGTCCAGGGATTACTTTTGTGGACTATTTGTGGGGCATCTCTGGAGCATTTCTGGGGTATGTTTACTTGCTCGTCCAAAATCCCCCTGGAGAGGGACAGGCCCGACTTCGGAGCAGCACGCGCTCGGCCCCCGGGAGCGCGCGGGCGCACGCCCGGGGGAGGGGAGCGCCCCCGGGGGCCAGCGAAGCAGCGCGGCGGCCGCGCACGGGGGCGGCGCGCGGAGGCGAGCGCGGGCAGGCCCGCGAGGCCCTCCTCCTCGGGAGGGCCATCCCCGGGAGGCGGCCGCAGACCTCCGCGGCAGGGCAGGAGGTCCCCCTCCTCCCCCTCCTCCTCCTCCTCCTCCTCCTCCTCCTCCTCCTCCTCCTCCTCCTCCTCCTCCTCCCTCCTCCTCCCCCCTCCTCCTCCTCCCCCTCCTCCTCCTCCTCCTCCCCCTCCTCCCCCTCCTCCTCCTCCTCCTCCGTCTGTCCACCCCCGAGGGGAGGGGGCCCGGAGGAGCCAGCGCCAGGGGGGCCCCCCCGGGAGCTCGAGACGGAGCCGCGGGAGCCGCGGCCGGGCCGCCCCCGCGGCCTGAGTGCCGGGCTGGCCGTGGGAGGCGAAGATGTACACGAGCACGCCCCCCCGGAGGGGATCGGCTGCAGGACGGATCTACCCTGAATCGGAGGTGGACGGAACCCCCAACAGTGACACGTCGATTAGCGAATTGTCCGTTTTCGGTTCTCGAGAGGGCGCCGTGGCCGTTATTTTCCAGGCTTGCGCCCGCCAGGTGTGGGCCTCAGGTCGTTTTCACTAAACCACGTTTTACTAAAGATAGTCAAAAAAGTAGTCTGGGGACGATTTTTGTTAGTATTTTCTGACCGTTTTTAGCAAGCCCCCCGGGAGGGGATCGGCTGCAGGATGGATCTACCCTGAAGCCGGGCCTGCCCTCTACAGGGGGGATTTGCAAAGATAGTCAAAAAAATCGTATGGGGATGATGTTTTGAGCATTTGTTGGCCGTGTTTGGAGTCTTTTGGGAGGTATCTTTTTATCTTTCGTCGAGCATCCCCTGTAGGGGGACAGGCCCGACGGCCCGACTTAGATCTACCCCAGAATTGATTTCCCAATCGGATCTACGGAAAGTGCAGCGACTGGTCTGTAGATCTGCGGAAGATTCTACGCAACTTTTCGTGGGCTCGACGGGGAAATCAAGTTTGGGGTAATTCGATTCTGTAGTCGATGCCCTACTCGAAACATGGGCCAAGGGGGCGTGGAGTAGCGACGGGTCCCGTTTCCATGGGAAATCGCGGATATCCGCCGCCGAACGAGGCGGCACCGGCCGCATTTGGGGGAGGGCACCTCTCCCGATCCATGGATTTGGCGGCCGCGCGCCAAATCCATGGATCGCTAATCCATGCCTGCGCGCCCCTGAAACTGGGAGCGGAGCGGAGCGTGCCGAGTCCGCCGGCCGGCCAGTCAGCGGGCCCCTCAGGGTGAAGTCGGGCGTGTCTCTCTACAGGAGGAATCTTAAAGAATAGTCAAAAATAGTATGGGGACGATGTTTGGATTTGTTTTGCTATGTTTGAGCATTTTTAGACTGTGTTTGATTCGTCCTCCAAAATCCGCTTGTAGGAGGACATGCAACCTTCGGGGCAGCGCGGATGGGCTGGGTCCGTTGTGCTCCACGTGCTAGAGGAAGGCGTGTTCCCAGCTGCGCGACGAACAAAAAAAAACAGGTTCAACTGCGGCGACACTCGCGCGTAAGCTGCTCGCGTGGGGTCGCGCGTGAGCGCCCTCGTCCCCAGTGTGGCGTGCCGCGCTGGTGACCCGCGTAAGCCTCGGCGTAAGGTCGCCAGGTAGTCTCGCGTAAGACCCGCCTTTGGTCGTCGCTCAACAGTCGACGATCCTCAGGACGTGTGTGGGCCCAACGCGTGTTTGCCCCGCTCAGCTCCGTCCATCTTGCGCAGATCGTGTTGGCCTTCATTGCCTGCGCCGCCTGCGTCGCACTGGGAGGCTTCGGACAACCGCATGTTGGGGCTAACACACGTTCTGAGGATCATCGGAACTGTCCCCCTGCATCTGATCGCAGGCAGAATCCAACCAAAGGTTGGTGACCCCCAGTGTCTGGTAGAGCCACGGGAGGGCCACACCGGCCAGAGGAGGAGGAGGAGGAAGAGGAAGAGGAGCAGGAGCAGGAGGAGGAGGAGGAGGAGGAGGAGGGGGAAGAGGAGGAGGAGGAGAAGGAGGAGGAGGAGGAGGAGGAGGAGGAGGGGGGAGGAGGAATACCCTGGGAATACCCTGAGAAGCACCAGTCGTGCTCTGCTCGATCACGCTACCCGCACCCCTGCATATGCTGCTGGCTGCCACCTGCTCGATGGCTCTCGCTCTCGCTGACGCTGACCCCCTCAGGCCTGCTAGTAGCGGCGGCGGCAGCAGCAGCAGCACGAGCTCGGGCTCGACACCCTTCCCTCCAAGCTAGTGCCTGACGCACAGCCTTGGGCATACCTTTGGGGTGGGGCCACTTACCCAAAGCCAATCGGTTCAAATTCTGGTTGCCTTTAGCAGTCCTGGGGCGACACTCCTCGGCCAGTGAAGCAGCCATCAGACTAGCATGGCAACTACAAGACGTGCACACATACAAATCCATGTTGTCAACATACCTCAAAGCATGTGACGGATGCAAGTCCTTCCCCCCCCCACCCTCACCGGCTCCCCGCCGCCCCTCATCCGAAGGCCTACCGCGCCCACCGCCGCATGCTGCTTCGGAGCACACACTGTGTGCAGGCAAACTCTGGTAGGGCTTCGTGCTGCACGGTCTGCTCACAAACCCTAGAGCTCAAGCGAGCCCCGATTTTCTCGAGAGTGGGGGGAGGCCTCCATGAGCCTCGCCTGCTTGCTAACACATCGCTTGGGCTTTGGCTCAACCCCCGAATTCAACGGATCGGCTTCCATGCAATCCTGATGCGCTCGCACGGCCCTCTTACGCACCATAGTATGTGCAACGGCATCTACAATTGAAACCTTTGGCTTGACTGTCGCGCTGGCAAGGACGGTGGCGGCAGCGCTCTGCGCAAACTCATCTGCACACATATTACCTGCACTCACGAAAAGCTGCTGGGCCGACTCGTTACCTATCAGATGCTCTTCCTGGTGGCTGTGCAGAAATCGTATCTCTATGTCGCTCTCGCCACGATCTCGAATGGCACGCCTAATCTGCCACCACAGGTCTGCATTTTCCCGCTCGGGCTCACGTGGCGCCGCTGCCGCTAGCCGTGCACCAGCGGCATGTGGTCGGTGTGGTACCGCAGGCAGCCTCGCGTGCGGCGCAGCGCGATGAGGAACGCCTGCAGCTCCGACCTCGGCACCGTCTGCTTCGGCCCAGGGAGCCCTGCTGCAACGCCAGCTGCCACGCGCAGCTCGCCTGGCGCCTGCAGCGAGCCCTGCAGGATGACCGCGCCCACTCCGCACTGTCGCAGACGAGGGTCGTCGCTGTGCTCCCCGCCCGAGCCATCGCCGAAGACGTCGAGGAAGCCATCCTCTCCTCTGTACTGCTCGGCGGCCGTGTCCCAGTCGCCCGCCACGTGCTCAAACTCGCTGGCGCCCTCTGGGTACTCGTACCGCGTCCAGCCGGTAGGCGGGAGGCCCCGCAACCAGAGGCAGGGCACCGCAGCAGCACCCTCCACGGCTCTGGCCGCCAGCGACTCCGTGCTCGTACAGTCCTCATGGCCCACATTGCACGGACACTGCCACACTCGATGCAGCAGGGTCTCGTCGGCCAGCCCGCACCGGGGGCACGTAGCCGACACGTCGAAGCCAGCCTCCTTCTGACGCACCCTCGTCCAGGATGCTCCGGTCATCACCTGCAGCTGCATGGCCCAGGTGCCGTACTCGCCGTCGCGCTGGAGCCTCGCCAGGTGCCTCCTCGCTTGGTGCAGATCAGCGCCGTCTGCGAGCCCTTCTCCAACATCATGACGAGCCGCCTTGGCCCACCAGGCCCTCTTGATGCTGGCCGTGAACTCGTCCAGGAGCTCGGTGTCGTCAGCTTCCATGTCCTCACTCATTTGCCAAGTCTCCTCGACGTCGGAGTGCCAGGTGGTAGCCGAGGGCACGTCCCAGCCAGCAGTGAGCAATGTGTAAGTCACCGCCGAGATAGCACCACGCACTCTGGCCCATCGCCTGGCCTGCGGCAGCGCCTTCAGCTTCTGGTACAGCAGGCGCCACGCTGCCTGCACTCGCTGCCGATGCTCAGGATGGCGCCTCCAGAACTGCATCCACTCGCCAAGCAGCTGGCGCGGCAGGGTCAGCCCCGGGTCGTCCTCATCCAGGGTCAGCTCCAGCGTGGTGGACAGGCATCTGCCGAAGCCCTTGCCTGCGATCGCACGGCTGGCCTGGCGCCTGAGCCGCAGCAAGGCCGTCGGCGCCACTCCGAGGACTTGGTGGCCATAGATCAGCGCCGGTTGTGCCCCCGTCTTGTGGAGCATCTTGGTGTACTCCCGGAGCCGCGCCTTACGCCGCATGCGGTGGATGCCGCGCATCCGCCTGGCCACCGTCTTGGCGCGCTTGTGGAACTGGCTCTGGTCCCGACGCTTGCCCGCCGTGGTGCTGACGCCCAGGTCCACGGCCTTCTCTACTGCCTTGAGCGGGAGGCTGGGCCCGCCTGCGCCGCCCACTACCTGCTGGGCCGCGTCCATGTCTGAGGCCACGATGACGGACTTGTCAGAGATGGTGAGCTTGGCGGCCTGGCAACACTCTCCAAACCGCTTCAGGGCCACTACCATCTGGTCCACCGCGGCCCGCTTCAGGCCCTCCGTCCTCAGAATCGTGTCATCCACGAACGTTTGCAAGCCCACTGCCGGGGACCCTGCACTCACGCGCTGCAGCAGCGGGTACAGGAACAGCTTGCCGACCTTCACGCCGTGGTTGCTACCCGCGACGATCGACCGCTCAGCCGAAATAGCTCCAGAGCTCCAGTCATGACGTCGCAGCCGCCTGGGCGCCAAGTAGGCCTGTGCCTCCAACGAGATGACGACGGCTGGGAAAGCCTCCTGCTCCGCCACCTCCAGCAGCGCGATCAGGTCGATGCTGTCGAAGAGGAAGAGGAGGCGGAGGAGAAGGAGGAGGAGAAGGAGGAGGAGGAGGAGAAGGAGCAGTTGCAGGAGGAGGAGGAGGAGGAGGAGGAGGAGGAGGAGGAGGAGGAGGAGGAGGGAGGGGGAGGAGGGGGAGGAGGAGGGGGAGGAGGAGCGAGGGAGGAGGAGGAGGAGGAGGAGGAGGAGAAGGAGCCGGCCAGATCGACCGCGCGTCGCGCAACACGCAGCGAGAAGCAGGGCGCGCTGGCACGCACGGATTGCAGACAGCGGTCGGACGGCGTTGGCTCAAGCCGTTCCGACCCCGGGGTGGTCCGTCCCGTCGCATCCTGGGCGAGTTGGCTCGGCAGCAGTTGAGCGAGCGCGGGGTAGAAGTCTCGGTTGGGCGCGGCGGGCGCTCTCGGCGGCGGCCTGGCACGGCCCCTTGATGCCATGGGGTGCGCGGCGAACGTCCCTGCCACCGCGCCCGAGCACGAGAAGGTGGCCTGCCAAGACTCGGCGGCGATCCAGGGGGGGAAGCGAGAAGGGAGAAGGAGGAGGCCTTCTCAGGAGGCTCGGAAGTCCCCCGCGGCCTTCGGAGAAGTTTTCTGAACCTTCCCCGAAGACAGAGAACACTTCTCAGAAGGCGCGGGGGCTTCTGAAAAGCCCCGCCGCCTCCTGAGAAGGCCTCTCCTTCTCACTTCCCCCCCTCGCTCGCCGCCGAAAGGTGGCCTGCCAAGACCGTGCCACACCCGGTCAAGAGCATCTCGTCACCCACAGGGAGTGCCCCAGCTTCCACCAGCGCTATCTGCTGGGGGAGATGATCGGGGAGGGCTGCTGCGCGTGCGTCTACAGCTGCAGGAGAGCTGACGGCGGACCCGAGGGCGAGTTCGCCGTGAAGGTCACGGACTTGGGCAGATTCAAGACAAACCAGCATGCCGCCTCGGACTGCTACTCGAGGGCACAGCGGGAAGCCTCCCTGCTCAAGGCGATGGGGAGCCAGGAGCACTGCTGCAGGCTCGTCGACTGCATCGTCGACCAGCGCTTCCACTACCTGGTCATTGGGAACTGCAGCATGACGCTGCTCCAGGCTCTGAAGAGCGTGCCTGAGCTCACGGAGCGGAATATGGCGGCGCTGGTGCAGCAGATGTTCATCGCCGTGTCCGAGGTGCACGCCCTCAAGATATTGCACCGGGACCTAAAGCCAGACAGCTTCCTCGTGGGCCAGGACGACACCGTGAAGCTGTGCAACTTCGGATTTGCGCGGAGGTTCCCCGCTGGCCCTGCGTGCGTCAGGGGGGTGTTCGGGACGGCGCCCTTCATGTCGCCAGAGATGATCACCGGGCTCGAGTACGCGGACCCCACGGACGTCTGGTCTCTCGGCGCCACGCTCTACGTCCTGCTCTGCGGCGAGTTCCCCTATGGCGGCCCTGGGGGGTGCGGCCCCCGGCAGATGAAGGTGGCGATTGCCCGCGGCGTGCCCGGCCCGCGCTTCGCCCCCGCCGTGGCCGGCGCCCAGCTGTCCCCCGCAGCGGTCGCGCTCCTGCGGGCGCTGCTCCACCGGGACCCCGACGTGCGGCCGAGCGCGGCGGAGGCGCTCGGCTACCGCTGGCTCTCCGCCGGGCGGGGGGAGGGGGGGCACGTGATGCGCACCTCGCGGCCCGGCGGGCCCGGGCCCCCCGGCGGCGGTCCCGGTGCACGCGGGCCACGTGTTCTTAGGCTCATCCTCCTCCTCCTCCTCCTCCTCCTCCTCCTCCTCCTCCTCCTCCTCCTCCTCCTCCTCCTCCTCCTCCTCCTCCTCCTCCTCCTCCTCCTCCTCCTCCTCCTCCTCCCTCCTCCTCCTCCGCCTCCTCCTCCTCCTCCTCCTCTCCTCCTCCTCCTCCTCCTCCTCCTCCTCCTCCTCCTCCTCCTCCTCCTCTCCCGGGTGGGGTCAGAGTGGATGGGATCGGAGAAGCACGCCCGCCGCATCGCCAAGGCATCGGCGATGCGGCTCGGTGTGGAGCCCGAGTTCCTCCACGCCGATGCGTCGCCGATGCAGCGCCGATGCGTCGCCGGTGCATCGCCGATCTATCGCCGATGCAGCGGTGAGGCGTCGACGGTGCGGCGAGGTCCTCCAATCCCGTCTACTCTCCGACCGCATTTGGGAGGCCTCTGGTGTTGCCCGGCGCTGTCGTGGCCCAGAGTGCGTCCCTGGGTTCTCGCGCCACGCTGGAGCCCCCGGGGCCCTCGGGGCATCGCGGAGGGGTGCCTTGAAGGCCCCTGGGCCGCCGGGGGGGCACCTGCTGGGCCAGCGGCGCTTCGGGCAGCGCGCGATAGCAGAGCGGCTCTGCGCGCGGATGCCCCGCGCGGAGCGCGCCCGGGGGATCGCGCACCCTCGCTGGCCGCGCCGCGGTGCTCAGGCCGCAGGGGCGCGCGGTCTGGATGCGGTGGGGGCTTCGGTCCAGGAGTAGGCCGCCTCAGACGCAAGGTTTGCCGTGGGCTTGCCGCGGTGTCGGCGTCGTCCACCTGGGGCGCGTCGAGAGCAAGCGGCGCGGCGACACGCCCATGGCCAAGCCTCAGCGTGTGCTCCACTAGCCTTCGGGCCCTGGATTGCTTTGGGGCCCTCCTGGGCCCGAGAGGGTCATGCGGCAGCACTTCCTGGAGCCCAGGGGGCACGCCGGAAGCCCCAGGAGATTTCGGAGGTCGGGGTCCGGACCTGCTTGAGGCTCCCCGGGAGTGGGGAGATCGAGGCGCAGAGGCTCAGGCAGAGGACCCGAGGACACGCCGTCTCCGTGCCCGGAGGCACGGTGGCGGATCCAATGCCCTCACCGCACACCCAGAGATCCGATGTCGCGATTTGTTCCAGGCGGGGCTCCCGGAAGCCTCGACCCGTTCCCCAGGACCGGTTTTTCATCCCGAGTCGACCTTTTGACGGTCCAGGGGTCCGGCGAGGGCCTCCAGAGAACGAGGACGGCGAAGAACACCTCCGTTTTGATTTGTGTCGCTACGCCCGTAAGGTTCGGCGCGGCCGCGGAGCTGGCGCCGGGCAGTCCGCTGCCCTCCGTCGGGGATGTCTTGCAGGCCGCCGAGCGCGCGGGCGCCTTCGAGCGCGGGGGCGGCACCCGCGGGGCCAGCGCGCCCCCGGCGCGCTCCATGGACAGGGTGCTGCAAGAGCTGCAGAGGTCGGCTACACTCGGCGGCGAGCGAGGGGGGGAAGTGAGAAGGAGAAGGCCTTCGCAGAGGGCGGCGGGACTTCTCAGAAGGCCTCCGGCCGTCTGAGGAGTTTTCGGCGTCTTGGGGGAAGGCTTAGAAGACTTCTCAGACGGCCGGGGGGACTTCCGAGCCTTCTGAAAAGGCCCGCGCCTTCTCATTTTCCCCCAGGCTTGCCGCCGATGCGCGTGAGCGACGCAAAAAAAAGGGGGGTCGCCTGCGCCGACCTTGGCGCGAAAGCTCCCCGCGTGAGGTCGCGCGTGGGCGCCCTCGCTCCCCGCGCTGCTTGTCGCGCTGGCGGCCCGCATGAGCCACCGCGTTAAGGTCGCTGTGCCATCTCGCGTAAGACCCGCCCGTCATCGTCGCTCGCGTAAGAGTGGCCTTTCGCCAGGGTGACCTTCGGAGCGGGCCCAAGGGGGCCCCCGATCGCTGAGCGCGGTGTGATGGCAGCGGATTGCGCGCGCGGTGGTGTCCCAGAGGGCCCCCGCTTAGGCCGCGTCCCAAAGGTTACTCTTGGCCAGGGTCACTCTTCCGTGTGGCCGAAGAGGGAGCACCAGAGGCAGGGGGTGCGCGGCTCCCGAGGAAGAAAGACCAGCACGGACATGCGTGCTCGACGCACCGCGCGGCTTTCCTGGATCTGCGCTGGCCCCCCCCCCCGCATGGGGCGCGGAGCGCGCCCGGCTCGGCACCGGAGGCGCCGCCAGGGGGGCCCAGCGCAGGTCCAAGAAAGCCGCGCGGGCTGTCGAGAGTCTACACGTATGACAAAAATTAAAAATCATAAAAAAGAGAGTCTACACGTGTGCCGTTGTTTGTTCCTCCAGGCTCGGGGAGCAGCCGGGACGACGAGGGCGGCCGCGAGTGGTGCCCGGAGCGTCCGGGAGAGAGGGCGCCCTCGGGTTCCCCGCAGCGTTTGGGGGACAAAAGGTGCCCTTGCGCGCGGGGTCTTCGAGCTCGGGAGGGCCATCGCGTCGGCATGATGCTCACCCTGTGACTCCGGCCTCTTGTGCTGATGCATGTGTGCTTGAAGAAGTTGGCATGGCGGTATTTTTTGAACGGCGCTCCTTGTTCGCACTCTTGGCCAGAAGGGTGGTGGAGGGACGGTGCGTGCAGTTCTGCCACACCGAGCGTCGCAGTCACAAGTGTCGGCGGCGCTGGTGCTGTAGCAATTCAGGGAGTGTAGGATTCGTCGAGGTTCCTTGCTGCGAGTGCCACCACGAACGGGAGTCCTGTACGTGGTAGAGCTCGCGGAACGTCCTGGTCGTTCCGCGAAGGTGTGGATGTTCAGGATTTTTGCACCATGCTCCCAATTCATCCCAACGCGTTTTTTCCTAACCAGTCTTGGCCTAAACACGTTAATACGTACCTTGTATCGCTTGATCGCGCCAGGCCTCCGCTGGCTCAGTCTGGCGTCTGCGAGTTCGTGGGCTTGGAATCGGGCGCTTTCGAGTCCACCACTCAACCCTGCTTTCAGCACTCCAGACATCCAGTTTGCACAATTGTAAGCACGACTGCGCTCTGACCCAGCTATCTCGACACGGTTGTCGATTCGGCAGGCCAGCGATGCAGCACGACATCAAGTGTTCTTGCAGTTGCGGCATTCCAGAGAGTGGCCCTCGTGGCAGTCTCACAATTAGAACTACTTGAATGCACGTCAGCTGCAAGGGTCAGCATGTAGTCTGATTCGAGTAGATTGCATTAGGGAGCTCGGCACTGCTCTGTGATTGCACACACAGGTGTCCGAAACATTGTTGCAGAAGCGTGTCCTTGCTCGTTTAAGTTACAAGGTCACAAAACCACAGCAGAAGACATTGTTATGTAGGGAAACAGCGCGTTCTGTAGGCGCTTTGGGGGGGGGATTCGAAACCGGCCCCCCCCCTGGATTCAAGGGGGGTGAGGGGGGTTCGAAACCCCCCCCCCTTCCAAGGAGGTTGTCCAGAATGGGGGGGGGGATTCCAACCCCCCCCACGGACCGGCGCCGGCGGCGGCTGGCGGCGGCAGCGAGGAACGTCGAGGACAACGATTCAAGGGGGGGCGGGGTTCGCACCCCCCTGCCCCCCTTGCCCTCCGGACCGGCACCAGCGCCAGCTGGCGGCGGCGGCAGGGAGCGTCGACGAGGACGGCGACGACGACGACGACGACGACGACGACGACGACGACATCGGCGACGACGTCGGCGACGACGTCTACGACGACAACGGCGACGACGGCGACGATACTACGACGGCGACAACGGCAACGAAGACGACGATGACGACGACGACGACGACGACGACGACGACGACGACGACGGCGACACAAAACGACGACTGCCACGATGGCGACGATGACGACGACGACGACGACGACGACGACGACGACAGCGACGACGGCGGCGGCGGCGACGACGACGGCAGCGACGACGGTGACGACGACGATGGAGGGCACGACGACGACGACGACGACGACGACGACGACGACGACGACGACGGCGGCGACGACGACGGCGACGACGCCAACGACGACGACGACCACGACGGCGACGATGGCAACGACGAAGACGACGACGACAACCGGCGGCGACGACGACGATGACGACGACGACCACGACGACGAAGACGACGACGACGACGGCGACGGCGACGACGACGGCGACGAGGACCACGACGACAAACATGGACAAACATGACGACGACGGCGACGACAGCGACGACGGCGACCGCGACGGCGACGACGTCTACGACGACGACGACGGCGACGACGGCGACGACGATGACAACGACGGCGACAACCGCAACCACGACGACGACAACGATAACGACGACGACGACGACGACGATGACGACGACAACGACGACGACCAGCACAACGACGACGCGACGACGACAACGGCGACGACGACGACGACGACGTTGACGACGACGACGACGACGACGACGACGACGACGACGACTACGACGACGAAGACGCTTGCGACGATGGCGACGACGATGACGACGGCAACGACGACGACTCGCACGACGGTGATGACGATGACGACGACGACGACGACGACGACGACGACGACGACGACGACGACGACGACGACGACGACGACGACTACGACGACGATGACGACGACGACGACGACGACGACGACGACGACGACGACGACGACAACGACGACGACGACAACGACGGCGGCGGCGGCGACGACGACGACGACGTAGGGCACGATGACGACGACGACGGCGACGACGGCGAAGACGGTGGCGACGACGACGGTGGCGACAACGACGGCGACGACGACCGACGGCG